TGGTAGCTTGGTAGTCTTCGAGAGATGGTTGTTCATTTTCTTGAATTGCTAAATTCTCATAAATTTTACGAACAAATCCCTTTATACCTCTTAGTTTTAAAGATGGGTTAAGTAGAGTAGAAATTAAATAAACTTCGGGAATAGGGAAAAAATACTTTTTAAATTTTGAAATCATTTCATTAATGGCCGGTGCATAAGTTGGATTTATTTTATACTTACCAAATACAACAGAAATTCCACAAATATACCATAATATTTGTGTAACAGTAGGATAATATATACCAGAAAACTGTTTTGTAGCATTATAAAAATTTTCTAAAGATTTAGTAAGCTCTTTGATCTCATCCCAATCAGAATCAACAATTTGATCAGCGGGAATACCATTATGCATATTAAATACCTTTTGGATAGGCACCCGATAATCATAAGCAACTTTAAAAATTTCATAAGTAGAATTCCACCTAGTAGAACATCTTTTGGAACTTTTCTAAATGGAAGGTTAGCACTAGCACATTGTTGAGAAAATTCACGAATTCTACTTTGTTTATGAGCACGAAAAATATAGCCACAAGCATGTTGTATTTTACTACAAGCATCAAAAAATAAATTAAGACCATCTTTTACAACCAAGTTAAAAATATGGCATGCACATCTAACATGAGAAATCGCTAGATTAATTGGACAAAGTCTAGATTTTAAGCTATTTGTTGCGGTTGTGTTAGCAGAAGCATTATCTAAGGTGATAGTTAAAACTTTATCAATGAGTCCATAAAAATCAAGTATTTGTAGAACAATAGTTGCAATATATGCTCCAGTGTGTTATGAATCAATAAATTTATAACCAATAATACGTTTTTGCATGTTCCAGTGATGATCAACCCAATGACATGTAACAGTTAAATAATTACAACCATTAGGACTACGACCTATATCAGATGTGATAGACACTTTACAATCTAAGTGAAAAAATACACAACGAATATACTGAAGATATTCAGTTTGAAATTTAAAAACATCATTTCTAACTGTGGTCTTAGGAAAACCTTGAAAAGCAGGGTTATAAGTTTCTTGTATATAATGCACAAAAGCAGGGTGAGAAGGAAAAGTAAAAGGTAAGCCACAGACAGCCACCATTTTTGCTAAGTTCTCACGATCTCTATCTTTGTTATAGGAGCGTAAAACATGACCAGAAGCAGGGTCAAGTTGTTGTTGAATTTGATTAGAACCAGATCCACTGGGAGTACCAGTACCGATGGTAGGATCTATAATTTTTTCAGCTTCTATGTTAGCTTGTATCCATAAAGATTTGTGATCCTTTCTTAAGTGTCTAGTTAAACCCCTCATCCCACCACTTGTTGTGTGTGCAAATTATTGCTTACATTTTTCACATATAGCACGATGATTGATTTTATCATGTTTAAAAAATTTCCATACAAGTGATGTTTTGGGACGTTCAGCCTTAGGCTTACCCCTTACAGGGGGTACAGGGGGTAAAGCTCCAGAACGAGATTGACTCTAAGTTGGAGCTTGTGTTGCGGGACTAGTGGGTGTTTCATCTAATTCTTCTTCCTCGTTTTCTTCATCCTCATTTTCTTCGTCCTCAAAAAAAATATCATTGCCAAATTGTCTTTGTAGAGTTTCATGATCTAGTTGTTCTCCGACATTAACATCCTAAAATGGGGGTTGGGAAAATGAAATTTCATCAACATGAGTCATTTCATCTATATGTTTTCTAATTCTAGGAGAAGGGTTAGGATTAGGACTAGGATTAGGATTACTACTACTTTCACCTTTACTACCTTTTTTACTACTTTTTAAAAAAAGCCAAATACATTTTTAGGTGCCATAATTTAAATACGAAATTAAATTAAAAAAGCTAACACAAAAATTAAACACACAAATGAAATGCGAAAATAGAACACGTAAAGTAAACACAAAAATTAAGCATTAAAATGATACGCAAAAATTATATATTAAAATTAGGAGATGGAACGAGTGCATCGTGATTAAATATTGAAACTTGAAGAAATTGCCCAAAATATTGCTCCAAATAGTTAACGAATTAATTTGAAGCTTGAAAGTTGCTCCAAAAATTTGCCCAAATACTTGAAACTTGAAAGCTATCACTTGATAGTTGATACTTAATAGTTGATAGTAACAAAATTGAGAGAATAATATAGATAGAATATTAGAATGTAAGAGATTTGAGAGAGAGGTTGATTTTTTGTGGAAACAAAATGAAGAAGAATGGGGGTATTTATAGTAGAAAATAAGGCCAAAGTATAATTTAATAAACTTAGGTGTTATATTAAAAGCTTGGGGGTATGGGTGTTTGGGGGTAGGGGGTAGGGGGTGTTTTGCCCGTTTTGGCCGTTGGCAACGGCTATTTTTGCAATTTAAGCCATTGCCCAACGGCTAGATTTAAAAAAAAAATTCAGGTGGGACGCGGGACGGGACGGGACGGGACAAACGGGAAGAAATGGTCGTCCCATCCCATCCCGTGTCCTGTTTAACATTGGCCCATCCCGTTTAACTTGAAGTGGGACGGGACTGGACGGGACCGGGATGGGATGCGGGACGGGACGGGACAGGACGGCCCGTCCCGTTGGACAGCTATAGACCCAATTGATACACATTTCTTTCACCTTTGAAAGGATTATTGAGAACCCTTATTGTTCTTCTTTTTAAAACTACCATAATGATGACTATTATTATTTTGATCTTTGGCACGCCCACTTCATTAGTCAACAACCACTTGTCTTCATTTAGATTTATTATGCATCGCTATCACATTCACTCCAAGAGTGGAACAAAACAAGTGGGACAAGCTTCATGCCTTTTCATGAAAAAATATTACTCCCTCCGGTCCAAAATAAGTAATTTTTTGGCCTTTTTTTTGTGGTCCAAAATAAGTGATTTTTCCAAATTTCAAGAGTGAATTAATTATTTTTTTCCTACATTGTCCTTGGAGTAAATAGTGTTGGAATATGTGTTATGAGTGTTTATGTGAGATAGTAAAGGTTAATATGGTCAATTCTATTGCTAATTAATGCTAAAAAGTAGATTTCTTAATCTGTGTGAAAACATCCAAAAATCACTTATTTTGGACCAGAGGAAGTATTTTTCTTTAGTCATCATTATATCATCAATATGGTGCATTGGATTCAAACCCAATGTCTTACCCATATAAAGGCGTGTAAGGCTATAATGCATAGGGACTCGAACCCAACTCTTATCATCATGGTGCACCAGGACTCAACCGATGTCTTACTCTCGTGGTGCGTTGGACTTGAACCCACCGTCTTACCCTCAATTAATGACATAATAGGCCAAAGTGAGCCTTGAACCCATTGATTAGCTCTACCATGATGGACATCGCTCTGGATCAATGGATTTTCTTTATCACCAAATCCTTCATTTTCTGTCTTGTTATTAGTTTTCGTTTTATTAAACCCATATACAAATAGGGAGCTGTCATGCCATAGAGTGCATCATATTAAACATCTATATATTAAAATATAAAAACTGTTAGCTGAAAGAAACAATCCAAGAAGAATATACTGTCTCCTAAATTAAAGAGTTACTAGTACTATTACTAGTATATTCAATTTTCAGAAAGTTAATAAGAAGCAAGAATGTTTTGCTCGACTATATATATATATATATATATATATTGAAATATAAAAATTGTTAGCTGAAAGAAACAATCCAAGAAGAATATACTGTCTCCTAAAATAAAGAGTTACTAGTACTGTTACTAGTATATTCAATTTTCAGAAAGTTAATAAGAAGCAAGAATATTCTGCTCGACAGTTTACATATTCCAATAGGCTAGCTAGCTATAGAACATAATGATATCACTATGGCCAAGTTCCAGCAAAGTCACGTTACTTCTAATATTTTAAGCCTTTGCTTTTAAAGTCATTAGTCCATATAATTAGATGAAGAATTCAATGAAGGCAGTAAACAACAACAAGGAAAGAATTAATTAGTTTAACAACTATTCTGATCAAACACATATATGTCCAAGAAACTAAAAGGCCATGAGGATTGTACCAAAGTATAAATTATTTCACAATTTTTAATGGAACTAAGCTCCAAAATTAAACAAAGTAAAAATCGTACCGGATTTCCATACCACAAGATGGAGTAGAAATGATACAATCTGACTTACTTGGAATATTATCCTTGTCCGATAAGAGATATAGCAAATAAAAACATATCTTTCCAGTTTCTTATTTCACTGGATACAATTAAAAAAAACCTTTCAATTAACAATTGCACATAAAGTTATGCAAAGATAAGAAAGAGCGAATGGATTTAGAAGGATGAAAAACTTATCTTTGCATTATCATCCAAGACATTTTTCATTATACTTGATCTCATTATCTGCTTATAATTCTAACTTACCAATGATATGAAATGTCAACTTATCACTTGGCAAAGCTGCAAAAGCAATTGTGGCTCCCATCTCTTATAGGAAGTATATGAAGAATATATCAATTCGTGCTGATAACGTGTTAAGAAACTTAGCTCAAAATAATAATATAAAACAAGAAAATAGACAAGAATGTAGGGAGCAAGAGATAGAGATTCTTATTTCTTTCATATATTCAAGTATGTACAATGTGATGCCCAAACGCTCTATTTATAGGATGATCTTTAGGTAATACAAAGGGATGTCATGGTATTAACTTTTGAGATCATGAGGAAGATCATGGAGGAAGTTATGAAGGTGTGAGAGTTACAACCATAATGATAAGAGAAGTAGCAAGAAGTTAATAGAGAATATCAGTGGGAGTAACTTCTTTAGGAATTATAGACATCCACTACATAATATAATCTTTATAACAAAATCAGCTATGCAAATTTTCACTTTATCTTTACATACTCAGAAGATTCATAATAGATCGATTATCTTCACATTTACTGTCAACCTATCAATTACTATCAGATTCAGAATTGGATCAAATATACTTGACATGGGTTCATAGGCAGAGTGAACAATCAAAAATTCAGTAATGGGACAACTACTGGTTTCCATCAGGATAATCCAAAGATGTATTACACTTGCTCTTGTGCGCCCTCACAATCTTATCGAGCTCAAGCGCCTTTCCAAAATAATTTAAAAAAAGAAAAAAAAGGAACAAACCAAGAAAGATGGCATATTGCAAAATGAAGCAAGCCTGACCGGTGAATTACGACAACATTGATATAATTATGAGACATAATATTAAAAACTAATATACAACATAATCTTCCATCCAAAGGAAAATTGCTAATACGGAGAATGTCTGCTCTTTCTGCGGGTCTTCTCCGATTTCAGAGCAAGAGTAGAGATCCATGATTGGCTATTATCAGAACCATCCGACAGCCAGCAACATAGGCGGCCATCTTCACCACCTGTCCATCCAAAAATACCGTGGTTATCCATGGTCTCACCTGGCACGCCAGACAAGACACTCCTAATAATGCCTTCATGTCCACCGCTCAAAACTGCTTCTGGAGGACCAATGGCTCGCGTTTCTTTATAATTTACAGGGAAATAGGCCAAGGAACCACCATTCGTCCCGCCAATCACCCAGAAACGGTCTTCCTCCGCTGAATAGTGGCAATCAACAAAATAATCAACCTGCCATCAGAATTTAAGCCAGAATAATCAATTTATGCTCCATCTAAACTCGGATTTATTGCCTTCAATACCGGAGCACTTTTATATTTTTCCAAGTTCTCCGATATCTTATATCCTTTTATTTCTTTTTTCCAAAACTAACATGTGCAGAACATTGCAGTTGCCAAGTATCGAGGATAGATCACTGCCAACATCAAACTAGGATAAGTTGTCTTCTTTTTGAACAACATACATGTGTCAGATTTTTAACAAGAATAGAGAAATTAGTTTCATGAATAGAGAAACTGAATAGGCGTACAAGTCACATACATGGTCTGTGATCCAGCTCTTAGAGGCTAAAGCTCTAGCATCCTCAAAACTGGCTTCAATTCTTTCATCTTTCCAGTCCCAGAAACTGCACAGAAAAAGAAATCTATACTATATTAAAAGCACGAAGGCTCTTAGCGAAATATCGTTCGCCTTTTTTACCCTTTAAAAATATATTTTAAGTTGGACAAAATTGTCATTAAATACTTTTCTAATATTTAGGGACTTTAAAATCAAGTATTTTGTTTATCTAAATCTTCTTTATTTAAACTATGCATAAAGTCCAATATTTAGGACTTCAAGTGACTAAGATTTTAAATTAACAATATTTTTTGTTTAACTGGCAAAGGAGTAATACTACCCAGACAGAAATTAAATCTCCATATACACGAGTTATACAAAAAAAAAAGGAATATATTTCTTGCCACAAAGTTCATCCAGTTGTCTATAAGACTTGGTCACCAAAAACTTATATAAAATTAAAAATGCTAATGACTTTTAAACTCTTTAAAGTAAAGTTTACATTAAACGAAAAATTATAAACTTTTTATTGTATGAGTAATATTTTAGAACTTTGAAACCAATTAAAATTTTGGTTATTATCCTTATTTGAACTATGTTAGAAGTCCTAATATATGGGGATCCAAAATCGATTAAAATTTAATCTTATAAGTTCTTTCTTATTTGAGCTATATAACACAACTATAACATCTTCCATACTAATTTTTTTAATTACTATTTAGCGCTTTAAAATTAATTAAATTTTATTTATTAAATTTATTCGTATTTGAACTATGTAGAAAATTCAAATATTTAGGATTTTAAAATTAATTAATTATAATTAAAATTTTAATTAATTTAAGTTCCTAAATATTAAAATCTTAGATACAATTAATTGATTTTACAGAACTAATTAACCATAATTCCTTCCATTTTATCATCGAACTATATCTATGAACTATAGCACATAGTCATATTATATTTGTACTACTTTCCTACTTTATAGTATTTTTATATTCATCAAACTCCGCTAACCCCCTCAACCTTTAGGGTTATTAGATAAAAATTACCTCAATACTCATAATTATTATTTTCTTTAACTCAAAATGAAATTCCAAAAATACTTCCAAAATGATAATAATAGCATGTTAGGGTGTACATAGTATAATATATTTATAATTTTTTAACGATTTATACTTATTAACACAGGGTACGCGCATTGTGCGTGAACCCTAAGACTAGTAAAAATAAAACAGCAAGGGTGAGAATTTCAGATTTTTCCTCAAAGTAAAAACGGCTAGATCATCTTCAGAGATATCGACAACCAGGAGAGATGCACAATAACATGTAAAAGACACCAACTGTGCCAAGGGACCAAAAGTTTAGCATAAAAAACAACAGGCAAGGAGCCAAATGAAGCATATTAGGATAATATGGAAATTATAACACCTTAAAGTTTCAATATGCGTTAAACACCAAAGCTTCTGATTCTTCTCCCCAAGAAATCCCACTTTTCCAACAGAGGTTCCCACATTGAGTACCTGTAATTGCATCTTGGTATAAGTAGCAGACAACGATAAAAAAGGAACTGAAATCTACTAAACAGAAGATAGAAACTTGAAAACACTGGCAGAGCTTATAAATCAAACCCAGGTTTTGCTTCAAAGTTAGCTAAATATCACAGGTTTTGCTTCAAAGTTAGCTAAATGTCTACATTGTACTGACACTAAACTAGCAATTTCAAAAGTGAAGAATAAATAAAATCAATAACATCATGAGAAGAAGACAATGTGTCATATCCTGAGCGTGGATGGAGGTCGTGTTCTCGTAACAAGAGATGCCTGAAAATTTTACAACTAGAATGTACAGAAACTACTTATTTTTCTTTTGAGTACTAGTTAACCGAGCTCATGAAAGTTTTCAGTAGCGATCTGGCATATCTCTATAGAGACAAAAGCATGGATTTCAGAAAAAGCTTCATAATATGGCAAGACATAAGACATACTATTGATTTACAGCTAGTGTAGATTTTTCCACCTAGAATTTTCAGGGACTGCACCATCTAAAAGCAGTTGTAATAATTACTAAATTTTTTATGAGGTAGTTATAATTATTATTTAAATAAACAAAGAGAAAATATAAAGGACTGCAAAAGTTATTTTTTGACATACTGATACCAAGTGATCATCATCGTTGATATCTCCACCAGTATCAAATAGACATATCAATCCATCAACAGATGCGGAAATGAGACTATCATCATAGCCTGGAATGAAGTGCACCTAAAAGCGACCACAAGCAACAAAATAGACTTCAAGATACAAAAAAGAAAAGATAAAAGACTCCAAAAGATTATGCATTTAATATCATCAAAAGCATAAATAACTCTGCATCCCAGCAAGGCCGGTCATTAATTTTCTCTGCTCTCTGTCTTAGATAGTTAGGGGAACATGCAACGAATGTCACAATCATATCTGTCTATTGTGGAACAGCCAATCAGATGACTGATAGTATAAGCAGGTTCAGTGCAACTTCCAAATCAGTCAACATTTCAATGATATAATCAAGACTATGGACAAATTAGCACTTAGGAGTATAATTACGTCTCAAAAATACTAACTTCAAAAACATGCTAATGATTTAAAGTAAAACCATTATCCAGTATACCCATATCTTATCTTTCTTGTGTTGCCATCAGAATACGAAGGAAACTTCAGATTATTCAGCTCTTAGAAATGCGAACTAGGAAATTTCATATTATTCAGCTCTTAGAAATATAATTTGCAATGCTGTAGTAACAAGAGTGTGAATTGTTCTAGCACTGACGAGAAAACTATTGTATAGAACATTAATTGTAAGAACATCAAAGTATACTCCACCGCCTATTGACAAAATGTGCACAGGGAGATGAGTCAATAAACTAGTATAGTAACACACCTGCGTAACATCTTCGGTATGAGAATCCTCCAAGCAGGCAACCTGGCGCTTGGTCCTCCAATCCCAGAAGAGTAGCTGTACAAAATAACCACAATGCGATGTCAATTGCCACATATCTCATACTACTAAATAGAGCTGAGTAATTTCATGTGCCTCAGTCAAAAGAATAATCTAAATCACATCTCTCATGTAATAAAATGGTTCTTACGAATTATTTCTGGAAAAGCTTCAAGCAATTGGAGGCTTAAGCAAGCAGTCAATAGCTTATGACAGACCAAACTAAATAACTTGAATCATATATATAGTTAAAACAATTTTTTTCTTAACTACACAGGCACACAAACACTAAGTTTTGTAGTACTTCTACGAACTTAAAATTCTACCAAAATAGACCACTGCTAATTTCGCGGATACAAGGGGTAGTACCTGAGGATTACAGCCAGCAGCAAGCAGATTGTGATTGGCTCCACCGAAGGAGAAACTAAATATCTCTTGAGAAGGGCCACCACTTACTGAAAACACCTGCATTCCATCTATTTGATATCAGAAATAAAATAACAACAAAACGTGATAGCACATATTACAAATGCATATAAATAGTTTTAAAAAAAAGTGGAACCTGCTGAAAAGACCTGGTATCCCAAGCTCTGAGAGTACCATCGGAAGAGCAAGAGTGTAGTACATGTGGCGACGAAGGACCTGAAAAGGCAATTTGATTAATGGTGGAGGAATGACCATTACATTCCCCAATGTACTGGCCTGTTGCGGCTGAGTACAATTTAATTGCATTAGTTGAGAGTGATACCGCCATTGATGTCCAGTCATTTCTGTAAATACGTTCAGTGAGAATTCTATGTTATGTACGGGATAAAAATTAATACATAAGAATCGAGTGAAGGAAAAAGAGGAGATACTTGGGAACGATTTGGAAAACGTAATCGTCGCCGAAGTTAGTCTGAATAGAGTTTTTGATACCAAAACGCTTAGAAGAAGTGTTGGGAATAGGAAGAGGGAGCGGTTGTTGTTCTATCTCCATCTCTTCTGCGCCATCCATTTTCTTTGTTGCTCCTACTAATCTCTCTTCTCTCGGGGAGGAAAACAGTGAGAAGCAAAACTCCGGCTCGGACACAAGGGTTTAGGGTTGGACTTTTTGTTTCTTCTTAATTTAGATTTAGATTTTAGGGTTGGACTGAATAAACTCCAATATTAGAAAGTTTGACGGTTACCACAAAAGGATGTGGCAGCGGATCAGACTACTCCTTCACGTTTTGGGTTCGAGCTCTAAGTGGAAAAATATTTGGTAGGGAGCTCTTTTCCCCAAATGGGGCTTTATCCGGCGCGAATTTGAATATAGTTAGGCTTCAATACGAATACCGGACATTGGGTAAGAAATCAAAAAAAAAATGTATTTGACCATTGTACAAAAGTTAAAATTTCAAAAAAAAAAAAAAGTTGACCAACTTGTATAATGTAATCACGAGTAGAGTGGTGAGATAGATAAAAAGAATTATCACAATCAAAAGATCTAAGAAATGGAGATCACACGGAAATGCACTCATAAGTCTTATGCGGTGGCGTAAATATCTATACGGTCAAAATCGGGCTTCCCTAATTTTGTATGACTAACCGTACCGGGGTGGCAAACCAAGGCCCCGCCTCGCACTGTATCGAACCATGGTACGGAGATGGATTGCTAAGCTCGTGAATCAATGACCGATCAAGATCGAGACCAACCGTGATCGAGACCAAAGCGGGAAAGAGATTGAGCGAGATCGAAGGAAGCCTCCTAAGTTGAATAACAAAAAGCCGAGATATCCGTGACCGGACAAGGATCGTGGCGGAAATCTCGACACGTATCGAGTCAGGACCGGTTATTTGGCCAATCATGGGATTTCCTTCCGTATTTAGAATTGTACCTGTCACGACCCAAAATGCATTAAGGTTCGTGATGGCGCCGGACACCATTGTCAGGCAAGCCAACACCAATTAACTAGTAATTTCTCGTTTTAGATATTTCTGAAATCACTTCTTTTATACATTTAAACAATAAATAATAAATTTCACTGAATAAATAATGATACCTTTAACAATTAAAAAATACTGAATAATCCCATAGACATCCCAAAACCCGGTGTCACAAGCGCATGAGCAATTTTTAGGGAACAATATAGTACAATAACTGTCCGGAATACAACTGGACAGTAGAGAAAATACAATACAGTACTCTGAAAGAGACTCTGCTGACTGCGGGTCGTCTCAAGAAGTGCAGCCCATATAAGTCTCCGTATCAACCATGCCGCTGCGCCCGACGAGGTCACTAGACGTACATGTGCCTGTGCAACAAAAATGCACAGCAAGTGTAGCATGAGTACGAAAACAACGTGTATTCAGTAAGTATCCCGTCTAATCTCGAAGAAGTAGAGACGAGAGGTCGACTTCGACACTTACTAGTGATCCAATAATAATATACCAATAGTATAACAAATCAAGGATTTTCATAAACATGGTTGTAACTCAGTAGAATGACGCAAGTAAACAATTCTTTTATTCATAGGGAAATTTCAAAATTCGTTTTCATCATTTATACATGTATTCTCAATTCGGGAAAGCAATGTCCTCATTTATAAATATCAAGGCAAGCAATACAAGCATGCGCAAATCATGCCGAGGACGTATGGCCCGATTCAACAATATTTAAATTGTGCACTGATAGAGGGTTGAATGGCGCGAACCATAGATGCATCTATTACCCAGCTCGCGAATCATACATGCAACACGATCAAATATAAATAAACACACCAAACAGTCAAACAAGAATTCATCAGGGAAACAACTATCCAATAAAACGCAATCTCTCTTTTTTAAAAATCAAGAAACAATGTCTAGTTTATTGAAATTCATTTACACGTTCAATATGTTTTTAAGCATTTCAAATTGACAACAAGATTGCAAATATTATAAATAAAGCATGCTTTCGGGTCCAAGACTACCCAGACTTAAGCGTAATAGTAGCTACGCATGGACTCTCGTCACCTCGTGCGTACGTAGCCCCCACAAATAGAAGCACATATCTAATTAATTCACCTATGGGGATAATTCCCTCTTACAAAGTTAGAAAGGAGACTCACCTCACTCCGAAGTTCCATATCCGGCTTCCAAGCCCTTCTGGCGACTCAAACCGATGCCAACGCTCCCAAAACTAGCCAAATAATGGGCAAACCAATGAAAACATATCCTAATACTTATAACAATTAAATTTATATAAATTCCCAACTCCGCATTCAAAAGTTGACAAAATCACCCTCGGGCCCACGTGCCCGAAATCCGGAATTTTTCGAAGATAAACTTTACTCATGACCTCACGAACTCAAATGTATAATTTACTCTCAATTTCATGTCCAAAATCGTGGTCAAAATCCAAAAATACCAATTTTCTAGGTTTTCCTCAAACCCCAAGTTTTTCACTAATTTCCATGTTCAAATCCATATCTAAATCATGTATTTAACTTGTAATGAGTTGAACCACTTACCTTGTGATACTTGAAGAACATCTCCCCTTGAAGCTCTCCAAAATCGTCCACACCAAATGAAAAATGGGAGAAAATGGCCAATAACACACTGCCTCCAGCATTTCCGCATCCGCGGTCACTTGATCAGGCTGCCCCTTCCGCTTCTGCACCTCAACTACCGCAGATGCGGTCCCGCTTCTACGGCTATGTGACCGCATCTGCGATCTCTTCACTTCAAGACCAACAACGCACCTGCGTCCCTCATGGCCGCTTCTGCGGCTCCGCACCTGCGGCCCAAGCCTCGCAGGTGCGGTTACACCAGAAGGCAGCTGTTTGCTTCTTCAAATTCCAAAATTGATCCGTTAACCATTTGGAATCCACCCGAGGCCCCCGAAACCCCGTCCAGTCACACCAACCAGTACCATAACATAACGCAGACATGCTCGAGGCCTCAAATCACATCAAATAACGCTAAAACCATAAATCACACTACATTTCAAACTTGATGAACTTTAGAACTTCGAACTTCTTCATTCGATGCTGAAACCTATCAAATCACCTCCGATTGACTTCAAGTTTCGCACACAAGTCATATTTGACATTACAGACCTACTCCAACTTCCGGAATCGGAATCCGGCCCCGATATTAAAAAGTCCACCTCCAGTCAAACTTCCCAAAAACCTTCAAATTTTTAACTCTAGCCAAATGACTCCAAAATGACCTACGAACCTCCAAATCCACTTCCGATCGCGCCCTCAATACTAGAATCACCATACGGAGCTATTCCTAGACTTGGAATCCCAAACAGACATCGATAACACTGAAATGCACTTAAATCCCAAACTTATGAAATTCTTCCAAATGTTAACTTCCACAATAGGCACCAAAACGCTCCCGGGTCATCCAAAATCCGATCCGGACATACGCCCAAGTCCAAAACCATCATATGAACCTGCTGGAACCTTCATCCCGATTCCGAGGTCGTTTATTCAAAAATTCAATCTTAGTCAATTCTGCCAACTTAAAGCTTCCAAAATACGAATTCTCTTTCCAAATCGACTCCGAACTTCCCGGAATTCAATTCCGACCATGTGTACAAGTCATAATACGCGACATGAAGCTGCTCACGGCTTCAAACTGCCGAACGACGTGCGAGAGCTCAAAACGACCGGTCAGGTCGTTACATTCTCCCCACTTAAACATACGTTCGTCCTCGAACGTGCTGAGACCTCCACTCGAGTTGTCCGAAATCACTGTGTAACACCTTGTGCACCTACCCGTGCTACCACAACTCAGTTGAGCGCATTAGCTTGGTCAAATCTGAAGATATCCTCTTTTATTCAGGCAAAAGAGCCTTAGGGCCCCAGTTCAACATCCGAAATTCTCTGCCAGGCCTGCTTCCAATATATGAACACCGTATCAATCACTACGCGATGTACTAGAACATGACTGCATACCTTTGCTGAATTCTCACCATGTGCCACATCATTCACAGGACCATAATAATATTCTCTGATTATAACAACCGACATTCCCCGAATCTAATGCTCACAATGCACCTCATGACAAGTGTAAGTCTTGATCCAACTCTTACAATACCGCCACGACAGAAGGGACGTGTAGAAATTCATAACCACTGCCGAGTCGACCAACCGTTGAGTCTATACTCATGACAAGAATCATTACCTCCTTCTGAACCACATAATGGTATTTGCTCTTTAATATCCTTCAAATAATCCGATCACACCGATCCTAGATCCAACAACCTCGTCTTACCCAGTATAAGCTATTCAGGCAATAAGCCACCCCAGACATGACCGAAAGTCTCATATGATGCCAAAATATGCGATAGGCCACAAACTCGAACGTGATACATAAGGGAAACGATCTTTGGAAGGGACTACTCAACCCACGCTACTAATATGATCTTTCCTCAGAATTGGGAAACAAAACACACAAAATAGAATATAGAAAGTTGTACTCATCATCATACTGTTGCGGCGTGCAACTCGATCCAAATAACATGCCCGTGGCGGCGTGCCACCCCATCCACACATAGAACTCACATAAGGAGATACACACCGAGCTAAATTGCTCATCATAACTAAATACCGAATATCGGTTGCAAGCACGCTAAGTGCATAATACCATCCTGGGGGAGACAGATAGCGTCATAAGCTACAAAACTCAAGCACAACTGAGGTGCTATATATAATCTGAATAACAAGAGCCACCCTACTCACATAACACCATCGCTACGCAGAACCTCAATACATAAGAAATTTATCAAGCCGTTTCACAACTCACACGGCGCAATAAAGCATTACATGAAATCGCTGACGACGAAGCAACATCCCATGTTCAAATACTCCTCCATGAGGAGCGCTATGCTGAAATGAACACATTTGGCCTGATATAGAGCCCATACTCATATTTAATTCCATCCACAGACCTCAAGCCGATCCTGATCGCGCCGTACTAGGAAAATAACCTTTCAAGGGTCCATAAATACCACTTTTTCCTATAATTCACAAGAACAACCATCATAACCAGAGTAAACCTCCACAGTCCACAACCCAATAAACCGAGTGCCCATCAGGCATAATTCTCGATTTAGTGATACTACCACAATCTTCACACTAGGTTTAAATCTTCAATCAATCAAGTGACTACATGTCACAC